GGATTAGTATGCTTTTTTACTGTTCTGATGATCAATGAAATGAAATGATGCAATTCGATGATAAACGATGAATACAAGAGATAAGCAAGGCAGGCTATTAAGTGTATGGTGTTGTACGTATCTGATTTCATTTGTCAATAATGAAGAAATATTGTGTAAAGTAGTGAAAGATGAGATAAAACTTCAAATAATAAATGGAAGAAGAAAGAATTTGATTTAAATGAAAGATGACAGATGACTGTCAAATGAGCAATAGGATTACATAGATATTTTAATGGAAGCATAAATAAGAAATGTGTAAAATAATGTAATATAATTTCATTTTATTGAAATAATCGATTTTTATTTATTTATTTATTTATTTTATTTCAGTCAATGATGTAAAATTGTCTTTTATGCTTATTTTATTTTAATGGTTAAAAAAATTTGAAGCTCAATGAAATAGACAGTATAATTAAAGGGTTTTAATTGTAAGGATAAAAGTTGAATTTATGTATAGTTTTATCTTTTAGATGATTATTTGGTTAAAAGTTTTTAATGGAAGCATAAATAAGAAATGTGTAAAATAATATAATGTAATTTCATTTTATTGAAATGATCGATTTCTTTTTTTTTTTATTTATTTTATTTCAGTCAATGATGTAAAAGTTGTCTTTTATGTTTATTTTATTTTAATGGTTAAAAAATTTGAAGCGCAATGAAATAGACAGTATAATTAAAGGGTTTTAATTGTAAGGATAAAAATTGAATTTATGTATAGTTTTATCTTTTAGATGATTATTTGACTAAAAGTTTTAAACCTTTTCTAATATTTTATTAAAAGTTAAATTACATTTCTAATAAGTGATTAATTAAGGAATTATTTTTGCTTATAGTTATTTATTTAATCAAATGAACAGTAAAATTTAGTAATTTCTCACATATTCAATGAAATATAGGCCTGGAAGTTAGCTTTAGTGAATGCTTTAGAATTTTATATTTTTTAGTGAAAATATATTTCAATATTTTTCAGTATTTTTCTAGTTAGCATAATAATAATAATAATAATAATATTAATAATAATAATAATACAAAATAATAATAATAATGATAATGATAATAATAATAATACATAATAGGAATAATAATATGAAAATTTTTTTTAAAAATATTTTTCCATTTATTTTAACCAATTCAAATGGATTAATAATAATAATTGTAATTTATTTCAAATAAAATTAGAAAGTATGAAAAGATCCTTTATGATCTAAGAGATGTTTACTTGTTAATTGATAAGCTAATATCAAAATGTTATTTTAAAAGATAATAAAGAAGAAAAGATTTTTTTTTTTTCATACATAAACAAAATAACCAAACAAACTGTATTGTTAAGAAAATATAAAAAATTAATATATTTATAAAGTTACAATAACAACAACAAAAAAAAAAAAAAGCGAAAATGAGGAATGCACATTTGGAAAAAAAAACTCGTAGTATGTAAATAATAAAAAAAAAAAAAACAAATAATTTCATTTTTATTTCAAATAAAATTTCAAAAAAAAAAAAATATAAAAAAAGCTTTGTCATCGATGTCAATGAATTTTTCATCTTTTTAGAAAATGTGTATTTAACTTTTAAAAATTTATATTCATAATTAAATTTTTTTTTTTTTTTGCATATTCATGAATTAAATATCTATCATATTTTAAATTATATTCAGCATATATAGTTTGTCAAAATGTTTGCTTAAAGTGATTTCGGACGTTTAGTTACATAGATGAAACGTGAACGTGTTGAACCGGTTGTTTCATCCGGATATCCGGTTATTAATGGTTTTGATGTGGTAGTAATAGTTGTAGTAACAGTGGTGGTAGTAGTTATTGTTGCTACCTTTAATTTTATTCCTTCATTTTCGATTATGCTAATTTTGCTTTCTTCATCTTCTGAAAAATGTATGTAATATTATTATTATTATAATAATAAATTTTGGTATGAAAATATTTTATAATTTTTTTTTTTAAAATTTAATTTTTTTTTAAATTTTATAATAATTACTCATTCATTTGAATTTTTGGTAATTATTTGATGAAAATTTACATAAAAAAAAAAAAATTATTTAAAGTTACTTTTTATACTACATATATTTTATCCTATTATCACTTATCAAAATAGTAATCACACTACTTTTATCACATTTTGTAATACTTGATTAGAAATGATGCTATTATAATGATTGCTTTGTATTAGTGATAGATAAATTTTAAATTACCAAAACTTAATTTTATCTTATAAAAGTATGGAAAAATTAAAATTTAAAATTTATATTTTTTCAAAAATTAAAATTTATACTTTTAAAATAATTGATTAATAAATTTGATAATGTTAATCATTGCTTACTTTTACTATCTTTAGTATCACCAATTGCAATATGACGATTTTGTGTAAGATAATTTGCAATATTACTAGGATGTTGCATTTGATTGATATTATTTTCGTTAATTTCAGGAATTTGTTGTTGCTCTATTTTAGGATAAATTTCATCTTTATGTATTAAATCGTTTATTTCATCCTGAAATTTGTTGATAATTCATTTTTTTTTTCTTATCAAAATTATCAAATAAATTGTTGATTTAGTGGGAGAGAAAGAGAGAGAAAAAAGCCCAAAAAAAGATATGAAATGTATGAAATATTGCAAAATTTTTTAGCTTTTCAAAAAGTTCATAAAAGAAAAAATAGAACAAAAAAAAAAAAAAATGATTTGATAAGAAATGATAATATTTAATCAAACTAGTAAGTAAGTAATTCACGCTTTAATCAAATTAGTGAGTAAGTAATTCATAAGTAAGTAATGCTTTAATCAAACTAGTAAGTAAGTAATTCACGCTTTAATCAAATTAGTAAGTAAGTAATTCAGATAAAATATGTAAATTCTTAAATGTTTTCTTTTTTGTAAAAAAAAAATATAAATCTATTCGTTATGCAAATTATTTTATTTCATCTATTCGTTTTAATTATTTATAATTTAAAATTAAATTTTTACACATTTTACATACTTACTTCGATTTGATAAGAATTGATAATATTTAATCAAATTAGTAAATAATTAATTCACACAAAATATGTAAATTCCTAAATATTTTTTTTTGTAAAAAAAAGAAAAAAATATAAATCTATTCGTTATGCAAATTATTTTATTTCATCTATTCGTTTTAACTATTTGTAATTTAAAATTAGATTTTTACTTTTACTTTATTCTAATTATTAGCTAGTAATTTTATGTTCTATTTAAAAAAAAAGCATATAATAATATATACAATGAAGTGATAAATGATAAAAAAAAATGATAAGAAATTATTTTTTTTTTATTAAATATATTATTGTATGATAATTGTTTTTAATTTTTTTCATTTTTTCAAAATGAATTTTTTGAGGAAAAAAAATTTAATATAAATATAAAAAAACTAACCTCATTTTCTTGATTATTATTAACTGGCTGAATTTTTGATGTTAATTGATGATGATATTTTAATGATGATGATGATGATGATGATGATGATGATGGTGATGGCAATGAATTAATTTGAATTTTTGTTCCATCTGAATTATGATCATTATCTACAATTATTATATCTTCTAGTTCATTGTTTGCATTATCCAACAATAGCTTATCATCATTATCAGCATCATCGTTATCACTTGTATTAGTTGAACTTGAACTTCCAGTCTTGTCATTCGTTGAATCTAAATTCACATTTAAAATTTTAAAAAATGATTCATAGTTCTTTTTTTTTTATAATCAATAATTTTATACTAGTTAGTATTAAAATATCGAAAAGTTGTTATCATTATTATCAGCATCATTGTTATCACTTGTATTAATTGAACTTCTATTCTTTCCATTTGTTGAATCTAAATTTACATTTAAAATTTTAAAAAATGATTCATAGTTCTTCTTTTTCTCTTATAATCAATAATTTTATATTAGTTAGCATTAAAATATTAAAAAGTTGTATGAAATTTTCAAAAAAAAAAAAAAAAATGTATTATTACATTTCATTGCTAATTAAAAATGAAAAAAAAAATCCTAAAATAAAAGTTCTACAAGAAAAAGAAGAATTAAATTAAATAAATGAAAAGAAAGTTTTTTAAGTAAGCAAAAGCTAGTCTTACTAACATTTATATAATTTATTTTGAAAAGTTGATTTTAATAACAAAATGAAAAGAGAAAAAAAAAAGTGGAGTAAAAAATTGAATAAATTAAATTTTAGATTTATATTCATTTAAATTAAAAAATTTAAATGAATATAATTTAATGCAAATTGAACAATATTATTTCATCTAAACAATATCAAAGATAAAAATTAAAATTTTATCTTTTGATTTAAAATGAAATAAATTTTGATATTAAAATTATTCTTTATCAATTACCTATATCGTCTTTATCATTTGGTATTTCATCGTATTCAATTACTGCTGATAATGGTGAAAGATGAAGAAATTGTTGTGGTATACTTTCATGTGGAATATTTGTTGGTTTATTAAATTTTGATTTAACATTTGAAATTCCACTCAGAGTTTTTCGCATATTCTTGTGATCACTGTCATGAATGGTTGACAGTAAGGGATGATTATTAATTAGTACTGAAATTTGAGTTGAATTTTTAGGTTTTTTTTCATTTTTTCCTTTTTTCTTCCTTTTTATTTTTGTCAATTGTTGTTGTCGTTGTTGTTGTTGTTGTTGTTGTTGTTGTTGTTGTTGTTGTTGTTGTTTACTCTAAAAAGTTTTCATTTCTTTTGGAAACAATATTAAAAACAAGAATGTTTGTAGTAAGGTTTGAAAGGAATTGCAAAAAAAAAAAAAATTTTAATTTTTCAAAATTCTAACTTTTCTTTCTCTTTCCCTTCTCTTTCTCTCTCTCTCTCTCCCTCTCTCTCTCTCTCTCCTAAACAAAATGATTTGTGAAAAAGTTTATTATTATAAGAGAAATATGCAAAAATTTCTTCTAAAGCATTAATAGAATTTAAAATATTAAACAATTTATTAGAACCATTTGTTTTACATCAAGTAATTCCATTTCTAATGGACATGGACAGAAGATTGCATTAGCACCAGGTTCACCAATTGGTCCTCGATTACCTCTTGGACCAAAATTACCAGGAAGACCATCCATTCCTTTAACACCTTTTTTACCGTCCGGTCCTGGTGGTCCATACACATAATTTCTTTTACCTAAAAATTGTTGATTTAATTTTGAAATTACAATATTCTTAGTTTATTAATTGAAACATAAAATTTCTAATTAAATTTGGCAAGTGTTACCTCGAGGACCTTGTGGTCCAGTTCTACCAATTGAGCCAGGTAATCCTTTTGGGCCTGGTTCTCCAATACCACCTGTAGCAGGCTTACCATCTGGTCCTTTTGGTCCTCTCGTCCCACTTGTACCATTATATCCTTGTGCTCCTTCTAGGCCAATTTCACCTAAAAAAAAATCCTTGTGCTCCTTCTAGGCCAATTTCACCTAAAAAAAAAAACAAACAAACAAACAAACTAAAAGGCTTGATTAATTCCTGCAACAAATATTGTTAAATTAAAACAAATACCATCTTGGCCATCTAGTCCAGGAATTCCAGGTATACCTCGATCACCTTTAGGACCTTGTATTCCTTGGTTACCAGGTGCTCCGGGTGGTCCACGTTCACCTTGTGGACAAATGATGCATTGTTGTTCTATTTCTTCTAATAATTCAAATGTACTTTTTCCTGGTAAACCAATAGGTCCATCATCACCTTGTTCACCATCCTCACCTGGATCTCCTAAAAATAAAATTAATTAAATCATTCAAATTTAATTTAATTTAAACTAAAGGCAAATTGTCATAATTCTATATAAAATATCTAAATTATTAAATACCTGGTGGTCCTGGTGGTCCAGGTTCTGGTGGTGGACAGGTATTTATTGATTTTTTCCTACGTAACAATTCTTGACGTTTTTGAGCAAGATTGATATCACCTATATCAGCTAATATCTATAAATAAAACTCATCAAAAGTACAATACATTTTTATGTTTTATTTTTAAGTATGTTTTATTCTAAAATATTTCAGTTCATTTTTTTAATTCATTTTAAAATAGCTAATTGAAACAATTAACTAAAACGTAAAATGTAAATTATTTTCTTCTTCTTTTTTTTTTTTATTTTTATTTTTTATTTGATAATTAATTTATAAGTAATTAGCTAACCTTAAATAATTTCATACGTTCCTCAATATCACTTCGCATAATGTCAGTACGCTTGAAAAATATTGGTAATAAAATTAATTGTGCTAATATTGTAAAAGCACTAATTAAAAAAGTTAGACCAGCTATGGTACCATAAAACATCTAAATGTATATGCATTTTATAATTTAAAATTAGGATAACACTATGTGAAATAAGCAAATTAAACAATAAGCAAATTAAGATGAAACAATAAAAAAAATTATTGAATTTAAGCAGCAATGAAGTTGAATAATTTTAGTAGTAAAAAAAAAAAAGGGAAAAAAAATACAAATGTTAAAATTTTTTTTTTTAGGCATTAAATTTTTCAAAAGAAATGAAATTAAGTAGTGTCTCTCAATTTTAATTGTTATTTTTGTTTTTTTTTAACTTTTTTTTTTTAATTTAAAATTAATTAATTTGTAATGAATCATAAACAGAACATAAAATAAAACATAACTTTGCATGAAATGAATGAATAAATGAATGTATGAAATACAAAATAAATTAATTAAAGTAAATTTTCAATTGCAAATAAATTAGCAAAAATGGAAAGTTTAATTTCAGTAAATATAAAAATTAATTTTACATGTAATTAATTATTGCTAATTATGTTTAATTATAAGTATTTATTAATTGATCATTTAAAAATATAAAAAATGAGCAATTTAAAAAAAAAAAAAAAAAGATTTTTAAATAAATAAACTGTCAACCGAGAGTTGACACTATACACAACAGAAATACAAAATAAATTAATTAAAGTAAATTTTCAATTGCAAATAAATTAGCAAAAATGGAAAGTTTAATTTCAATAAATATAAAAATTAATTTTACATGTAATTAATTATTGCTAATTATGTTTAATTATAGTATTTATTAATTGATCATTTAAAAAACATAAAAAATGAGCAATTTAAAAAAAAAAAAAAAAAGATTTTTAAATAAATAAACTGTCAACCGAGAGTTGACACGATATACAACAGAAATACAAAATAAATTAATTAAAGCAAATTTTCAATTGCAAATAAATTAGCAAAAATGGAAAGTTTAATTTCAGTAAATATAAAAATTAATTTTACATGTAATTAATTATTGCTAATTATGTTTAATTATAAGTATTTATTAATTGATCATTTAAAAATATAAAAAATGAGCAATTTAAAGGAAAAAAAAAAGATTTTTAAATAAATAAACTGTCAACCGAGAGTTGACACGATATACAACAGAAATACAAAATAAATTAATTAAAGTAAATTTTCAATTGCAAATAAATTAGCAAAAATGGAAAGTTTAATTTCAGTAAATATAAAAATTAATTTTACATGTAATTAATTATTGCTAATTATGTTTAATTATAAGTATTTATTAATTGATCATTTAAAAATATAAAAAATGAGCAATTTAAAAAAAGGAAAAAAAAAAAGATTTTTAAATAAATAAACTGTCAACCGAGAGTTGACACGATATACAACAGAAATACAAAATAAATTAATTAAAGTAAATTTTCAATTGCAAATAAATTAGCAAAAATGGAAAGTTTAATTTCAGTAAATATAAAAATTAATTTTACATGTAATTAATTATTGCTAATTATGTTTAATTATAAGTATTTATTAATTGATCATTTAAAAATATATGTAAATATATTTTTAAAAATATAAAAAATGAGCAATTTAAAAAAAAAAAAAAAAGATTTTTAAATAAATAAACTGTCAACCGAGAGTTGACACGATATACAACAATGGACAATGTGCCATGATGGACACTATCGTTACCATTTCTTTCTTTCTTTTTTTTTTTTTTTTTGTAATTCAAAATTATGAGAAGTAATTGGAATGCCTTTCTATCACTCTGAAACAATTTCATCTAAGAGAGAGAGAGAGAGAGAGAGAGAGAGAAAGAGGTAGAGAGATGACCTGGTTTGAAATAAATAGAATTCCTCTTTTTTTCTTCCTTTCCTTTCCTCTATTACAAAAAAAAAATATATATAAAGTAAAGTTTTGAAGAGAATATTATCAATTATTTATCTTTTCATTATCATTCCCTCTCTCTCTCTCTTTTTATTTCTTCAGATATAGAAAAAATTTTTTTTGGAAGAGAAAGAAAGATAAATGGAGCAAAAGCTAATAAATAATGATCTAATTAATTAGATGAATTAATTAAATTAAAATAAAATGATTGATAATAAAAAAGAAATAAATATGAAAGAAAGAAAGAAAAAAAAAAAGAAAATAAAATTAATAAATTATTATTGTTAAAAAAAAGAAGTAATTAATTTTTTTTTTTCTAAAAATTAAATTGCAAAAAAAAAAAAAAGAAATATTCGTTTACATTTTATTTAATCCTTCATTTTAAATCCATCTATTTTTCAGCATTATCATTTCAATATTTTTCAATTAAATTTTAGAAATTTAAACGGTAAATCCAAAAATGTGTCAAATTTTTATAAGGTAGAAGAAAATTAAATTTTTCTTGTTGAAAAAAAAAAAAAAAGAAAATATGAAATGAATTTTTTTTTCTTCCGAATAAAATTATTAATGCATATATTATTATTATTATTAATAGTTTAGTTAAGAATTATTTAAAACTTGAAATTTAACAAAATTATTTGAAAATTATCTAAATTAGAAATCATATATAAACTTACATGCATACATACATGAACATACATACACATACAAACTTACATACAAAACATACAAGTATAACATACAACGTCGAAACGTTAATTTCAATCGAACTATTTTTTTTTTATTCCTTTTAAAGATTAAATATTTTTCAGATTCAATATATTATATTTAAAATTCATTCATAATTTCAAATAGCATAGTTAAAAATTGAAAAATTCAAATTTAAAATCCAAACGATGATTGAAAATTTATTCATTTCTTTGCTTTTAAAAGGTAATAGTTTAAAAGCAACATTCTCTTTCTTATATTTTCAAAGTTTAGAAGAAAGAAAATTTTAATAATTTTCATTAAAATAAAATTAGGTAAGATATTAGAAAGGTTCAGTTGAAGTATTCCAAAATTATTGCTATCCATTTATTATTTATTTAAAAAAAAAAAAAAAGATTGTTAATTACTTTCATTTCTTAAATTTGATTAATTATATCAAAGATTATGAAGAAAAGAAAAATATGCTTTTTGTATTTTTTAAATTTCTGTTTTCAATTATTTTACAAAAATTTTTGTTTATTTTATTAAATCATTTCTCTTTTTTTTTTTTTTTGCCATTTGATTTTGCCTATTATTTATACAAATAATCATAATTCACTTTAAATATTAATGGATGAATATTTAGAATTATTATTCCATTTGAATTTGAATGTTAAAAAAAAAAAATTCTGTATATAAAATAATGATTTCATATTATTAATTAATTTTTTTTAATTAATTAATACTGAAATTATATTAGACTCAAATGCATTTTGAAATATTTACAGGCATGAAGATAGAAATATATTAGGTGGCGTACAAATAATTGACGTTACGTAATACACGTAACTTGTTAAGAACGTCCATTCTGCAATGTTTCTGTGCAAAAATATACCAAACGATAAACCGTAAATGTTGTGATAATAGCATAAAATTTGCAATATTAAATTTGGGATAAAAAATACGAACAATATTTAGAAGAAAAATATTTACATAAAAATTAAAAATCAAATTTGAACTTTTGCAAATATTTATTAGACAACAATTTTAAAATTACAACTTAACATAGCAAACATTGATTAAAAGTAAAAGCTCAAAGTAAACAAAAAAAAAAAAAATTCATTTCTTCAGTTTAATTTTAAGCTTGTAAATAGGAAAACAAAATTCTAAAATTATTGCAAATTTTCGAGAAATTTTAACAAAAAATGAAATTTTAACAAATTTAACAAAAAATAAAAAGATTTTTTATCTTTTATTATCACTTTTTTTTTTTTTTGGAACATCATTTTGATTATTCATACCTCAAATATTCATTAAAAGAGAATATTGTCATATTTTTTGTCTTTTAATAAATCAATCATTGATAATATCTTATCATATCACATCATATCATATTATATCATTTAAATCTATAACGATGGCTTATCATTTTCTGATATTTGCCAACAAAACCCCAATTAGGAAAAATTAATCCAAGGATAAAACGTGAAATATTTGACGTAATAAATGGTTGCATCCAATGAAGTAATGTACGATAGATAAATAAATATTGTAATGGCGATGAAATTGCATGACGTCGTTGAAGTCGTACAAAAATTGCTGTTGTAAGTACTAAATTATCGTATTGAGCTGAACCTAAAATTATTCTAAAATAGATTAAATTAGAAAATTTGAAATATAAAACATTGATTTTTTCCCTTTTTGAAAAAAAAAAAAAGAAGCATTTTGTTCTTATTTTCAAAAACTATTACTTCTATTATATTTATTTTTTTTTTTTAAAAAAAAGTGAAAAATTTGAAAAATAATCAACTGATAAATTCAAAAATCATGAACAATTTATCAATTTTAATTTTACAACTTTATATCTAATCAGTATTTAACTTTTTTTTGGGTTTTTTATCTTAATTTTACATGCAAACAATATTTATTATTGCATTTATATTAGAAGTTATACATTAATTATAGAAAATACCAAAATATTCACCCGTAAAATGCATAATCACTATAATTGATTGTAATTTAAAAAAAAAAAAAAATTATTTTAATAACTCCATTAATAGATTATATCATAAAAAAATTATTTGCCTGTCATTTTTTTTTTTGTAATACCATCAATCATTTATAAGAAAGCAAAATTATTAAATTTAATTTTAACCTCTAAGTAAGTGCATTAAAAGTACTTCAATAGTGACCAAAGTACCAGAACGACCACAACCATCCAAACAATGTATAATTGTTGGCATTGATGATAAGCGTGCCCTAATAAATTTAAAAAATGATAAAAATTTATGTAAAAAAAAAAAAAAAAAAAAAAAAAAAATTTAGCATAAAAAATACACACATCAATGATCATAAATAATTGCTATGCTATTGTTCTACAATAGGAAATGATAATAGTACCGTACTCAATACCGTATGCCAAGTACGGTATTGCTACCATTTCCCCGTTGCACAAAGTCTAAAATGAAAAAGAAAAGAAGTGAATAAATAAATGATGTTCGTGATAACTGATATTGATGATATTAATGATAAGAATGATATTACCGATGATGATAATAATAGTGATATTAGATGAAGATAAATAATGATTGCAATGATCTTTGGGCGATCAATATACACATCAATGATCATAAATAATTGCTATTTTACTGTTCTACGAGAGGAAATGATAATAGTACCGTACTCAATACCGTATGCCAAGTACGGTAATGCTACCATAGCCTACTGTACAAAGTCTAAAATGAAAAAGAAAAGAAGTGATTAAATAAATGATGTTCATGATAACTGATACTGATGGTATTAATGATAAGAATGATATCAACGATGATGATAATAATAGTGATATTAGATGAAGATAAATAATGATTGCAGTGATCTTTGGGGGATCAATATACACATCAATGATCATAAATAATTGCTATTTTACTGTTCTACGAGAGGAAATGATAACAGTACCGTACTTAATACAGTATGCCAGGTACGGTAGTGCTACCATATCCTACTGTACAATGTCTAAAATGAAAAAGAAAAGAAGTGAATAAATAAATGATGTTCATGATAACTGATACTGATGATATTAATGATAAGAATGATATTAACGATGATAATAATAATAGTGATATTGGATGAAGATAAATAATGATTGCAATGATCTTTAGACAATAAAAAAAAATGATAAGAATGTTTTATTGCTAAAAACAGTAAAGTATACAATACCTTCGAAGGATGCGTAATGGCCAATAAAAATCAGTGAATTTATTCCAATCATATTGCCAATGTTCTAACTTATGCACAACGCCTTCTTCGTCATCAACTCGATGCATTGTCAAATGGGTGACATTGAAAAGTGGATCAGTGGTACAATCCATTTTAATATTACAAACAATGTAATCACCATATTGAGCTTTGTCATTTTCATATCTATTTAAATGATAATTTTAAAATTCATGATTATTGAATTTTAAACTAGAATTTTTGCTTTTCTTTTTCACAGCAATTCTATAATTCACAAATAATGAAATTTTAGAAAAGTGTATTAATATTATTATCATTTATTTATTATTAATAATTAATTAAACTATTACATTAATACTATCTAAAATATTTCAAAATATTCAAAGGAAAATTTAGTAAATTTAATAATAAAATAAACAAATGTTATGAAATTAAATAGATGGCGGAATTTTCAAATATTATAAAATTAAATAAAATATTGTAATAAGAAATAAAATTTAGTATAATTAAAATTATTGAAATATATTAAATAAACAATTGTATGCTGATTATACATATTAATAAAAAATATAACCGTTTTTTTCTAAAAAAAAACAAAACAAATAATGTTCTAAATTTTAAGACATATGAAATACTGTTAATGTGATGTTATTTGTGCTATAAATTAAAATTAAACTTTATTTTTAGTTAATTTTTTTTTCTTTTTCAGACAACCTAAAACACACTATTAACGAATTTTAGTTACTGATTACATACTAGAAGCTATTTTTTCTAGGCGAAAGAATTCTTTAAAAACTGATTACTTATACAGAAACTTACTTATACACATACTTATACAGAAAGAAAAGTATTACCTTGGCCAGTAATACACGCAAGTGTTAGGTAATACTCCATCCAATAAGCCTAAACGTTTCATATCAACAGCTTTGCATAACATGATGATATATTTTGAACGTTCCTGCCAAACCATTTGCCAGAAATCATTGATTGTTGACGGAAGTGGCGCTTGTGTTAGAATAAACGTATTCAAGAGTGGACCACCACGTACGTATGACGCGTGAATGAAATCATCGCTAAAAATCACCTATTATCAATTTATATAAACATTCATATAGCTTAAAAATTAATCAGTAAATTAATAATTAATCAGTAAATTAATATTTGAAAAAAAAAAAAAAAAAAAAACAAGTATTATTTTAAAAAATTTACCATAAAAAGTTCATTAAAATTTAAGTAATAAAAAGTAATTAATAGAAAAAAAATACTATAAGTGAGAAATTTTTAATACTTGTTTGTTTTCTTTTATTTTAAATCATAAAAAAAAAAATTGATTAATAAATTTTAATAATAAAGAAAACAAAAAAATTTTTAAATGATCACTTATGTATTAATATTGCTACAAAAATTCCACAATAATAAAATTTTAATCAAATAAAAAGCTAAAAAAAAAAAAAAACAAATAACAAATTTAATCAATAATTATTTAGCAGTTTTTTTTTTAAAAAAAAGTTTTTTTTTTTAAATGAACACAACAAATATCATTCTAATACTAGCAGGAACAAAAAAAAAAAAAGATAGCTTAAGTTGCTTTTTAATTAATTCTTATAATCTGCAAAAAAAAAATTTTATAAAAAATTGATAATAAAATTAACAAATATACCTCTTATCAGTAGAATGATCTGTTATGCTAATATGTTTGAAAATATCATTCGTATAATGCATATTTGTTGTTTCTTGTTTTGTTGATTTATACGGAAAAAATGAACCATTATTATTACTTGTTGTCTTTTTACGCCATAATATCACGCGACTGATATCAGCACATTCGAATACTGTAACTATATGATAATTTTGTGATAATTTGATTAGAATGTGACAAAAAAAAAAAAAATGTGACAATTTTGATTAGAATTAAAAATGAAATTTCATTTTAATTCAAATAACAGAAGTTTCATTTCTAATTTAATTCAAGTTTAATTCAAAACAAATTTATTTGCTTGACAGAATTTAAAGTTTGCTGAAAAATGTTTAACAATTGATTGATTGATTGATTGATTGATCGATTGATTAGCACGTTTAACATTTATAAATAAAGTAATTAATGCACAATAAAAATAAATAAATAATGGAATCTTTCATTGTTTATGGAATACTTATCAAAGATTACTTTTAATATTTTATATATTTTTTTCAAGTTGATCGATTGATCGATTGATTGATCGATTGATTAGCGCGTTTAACATTTATAAATAATTACAATAAAAATAAATAAATAATGGAATCTTTCATTGTTTATGGAATACTTTTCAAAGATTACTTTTAATATTTTATATATTTTTTTCAAGTTGATCGATTGATTGATTGATTGATCGATTGATTAGCACGTTTAACATTTATAAATAAAGTAATTACAATAAAAATAAATAAATAATGGAATCTTTCATTGTTTATGGAATACTTGTCAAAGATTACTTTTAATACTTTATATATTTTTTTCAAGTTGATCGATTGATTGATTGATTGATTGATTGATTAGCTGTGTATAAGAACACATATAATATTTTTTTAAAAAAAAAAGAGAGATCAATAAAGTAATCAATGCGCAATAAAAATAAATAATGGAATCTTTCATTGTTTATGGAATACTTTTCAAAGATTACTTTTAATATTTTATATATTTTTTTAAGTAATATTTTAAGTAATTAAAATTTTTAAATTTTTAAGTATTATTCATTTAAATTTATACTGAAATGATCATGATGACATATGGAATAGAATTACATAAAAAACTTATAACATTGCATAATTCAGAATTAAATTAATGATATTTATTAATTTAATATTAATAATTAACAAAGATATTTTCTAATTTAGTTTTGATCATATTTAACAAAGATATTTTTCAATTTAGATTTGATCATATTTAACAAAGATATTTTACTAATTTAATTTTGATCATATTTGATCAACAAAAATATTTTCACGCATTTCTAATTTAGTTTTTAGTAACATTTTTGGAAAAATAGAAATGTCACTATGATTCCTAATATTTGTAATTTTTTTTTTTTTACTTTTTACTTTTTTTTTTGCAATGATAGTCAAAAATGTACGAAATGAAATATACATTAAATTATTGAGCGAAAAAATTTTTGAAATTAAAACTAACATTTATTTCTTGCTTTATCAAGATTTCGATTAAAAGCATTTTGCTTTGCTTCTTCCGATGTTAACGAATTACGCTCAAAAAATGTTTTTAATTGTTGAAATTCCGCCACATATTCCTTTAAAAAAACAAAAAAAAAAAAAACAAATGGGAGAAAAAAAACTATTTCTTAATTTCAAATTTTGGAAAGAAAAATTTTTTAAATTTTAATCATTTCAAAACATTTTCTTATTTTTCTTTTTCACTTCAAAAATTTAAATTTCTGCTAAATATTTTTAATAAAATGGTAAATTTTTTTAAAAATTTTTGTGCTACTTTGTGCAAAAATTTAAATTTCATTTGAAGATAAATTTCATTGTGAGAATTTGATCGATAAATAAAATTCACTGCTCTATATTTTAGGATAATTTTGTTGAGAAAATTGACCTAAAATTTTAAAAAGCAAGTTTAATTTTAGGAAATTTTACCGATAAATGAGGTGTTATTGTGCCAGGTTCAATAATAAATGAATATTTAACCATTTCAGCCATTGAAGAAGCAAAATTATTTATCCTTTCAAGCATTCGACTGTAAAATTCGCTACTCTGTTCGGTCCAATTTGATAATGGATCAGCCTATATGATAATTAATATTTATTTTAATTAACAAATTAAAATTTAAAAAAAAAAAAAAGAGGAAGGATATAAAAATTTCTATAATCAAAAGAAATAAATGTTACTTAATTTCAATCATATGCTAAAACATGAATTAATCAACAATTAAATTGTTAAATTTTTCAGGAAAAAAAAAAAAAACAAATTATTTATTTATTTTTTATGAAACATAATAGCTAAATAAAGAATTATAAAAGCATTTGAAATGTTCGATCACAATTAGCACACATTTAAATTAACTTAAAAATTCCAATTATGAAGTTATTAAATATTAGAAATTTATAATTTTTTATTATATTAAAAGAAAATTTGATACAATTTAGATGTTTAAATTATTTCATTCTGTTCATCAAAATTTTTAATTTTTTTTTTTTAAAATAATAAAATACCTCTTTAAGTGAAGTGAAATCACGCATTAGTTCGTTGATAATTTTTGATGATGGTTGACTTAATTCAGCTGCAACATCATCTAACCAACCAATTAAATTTGCTCTATAAAATAAAAATTCAATTTCAAAATTTTTGAAATTTGTAAATTTAAATTTGTGTAACTTTTTTTTTATTTTTAGCTTACATACCAGACTCTATGCTAATCAGATTATGATTTATGAACTTTTAATTTTTAACTTTTAGATTGTTTACAGCAAAAATTATCTAATTACTTAAGCATATAATGATAATCAACAAAGTTTGTTACGTTAATTATCATCACAATTTTGCCTTTTCAAATTTAATTTCAAATATAAATTCATATTTAACTTTAAATTTTTTGAAATTTGTAATTTTAAATTTAATTTAATTTCAAAAAACTTAATTTCAACATGTAAATGTAATTTTACAATAAGTTAGTGTTGTAATAATTTTAATATTGTTTTGTTTGTTTGTTTGTTTGTTTTTTTTTCTCAAAAAATTGAATAAATATCAACTAAGAAATAATTTACCCATATTTACGTTTCAGGAAATCAGGATCACTTTGCATATGATCCGGTTTTAGAATAACTGATGAAATTAAGCGTAATTTAATTTCTTCATCTCTTACAACATCATTTATTTTTTGAATTTTTTGCTTTATAAACGATTGTATTTCATCTATTTTATATTGTTCCTAAAAAATATGAAAATGAATTAACACAATTTCACACAATTTTAAATTTAAAAAAAAAAAAAACTTTTTTTTTCAATTCACAAAAATTGTTATTTTAAAAAATAACTATTTTGAATTTAAGTAAAAATTAGATTTAAAAATTTTTTTTAAAACTTTAAAATTAGCAATCAAACTTACAAGTCGCTGTTTTAAAGCACGAATTTTATATGCTTCATACCAACGCATGTAAAATAAACAATTTGAATGTGTATTATCATGAAATTTATTTGCTTCTATTTGCCTTTTCCGTTTACTCCATTTATTTCCGGTTGGTATTATTGAATGAATTTCACCTGGACAGAACCATTCCGAATCTACAAGCGCATCCTGAAAAAAAAAAATTCAAAATTTATAAACGATTTAAAAAAAAATACCATATCACAAATTTATTAACTTAAATATAACCTAAAAAAACAAAACAAGCAAAATGGGTTTGTTTAGCTTTTTCAAATTCGGAAATTATCATTATCATAAAAATTAATTCCGGAAATGATTTTAGATTTAAAATATGTAATATTTTTTGATAAAATTGTAAAATGTGTAGTGTTTTTAGTTACAATGAATAAATCAATTCGGATTTATGATTATCATAAAATTAATTCCGGAAATGATTTTAGGTTTAAAATATGTAATATTTTTTGATAAAATGTGTAAGATATGTAATAATTTTAGGTTAGAATGAATAAATCAATTCGGATTTATGATTATCATAAAATTAATTCCGGAAATGATTTTAGCTTTAAAATATGTAATATTTTTTGATAAAATTGTAAAATATGTAGTGTTTTTAGTTACAATGAATAAATCAATTCGGATTTATGATTATCATAAAATTAATTCCGGGAATAATTTTAGCTTTAAAATATGTAATATTTTTTGATAAAATTGTAAAGTATGTAGTGTTTTTAGTTACAATGAATAAATCAATTCGGATTTATGATTATCATAAAATTAATTCCGGAAATGATTTTAGATTTAAAATATGTAATATTTTTTGATAAAATTGTAAAATATGTAGTGTTTTTAGTTACAATGAATAAATCAATTCGGATTTATGATTATCATAAAATTAATTCCGGAAATGATTTTAGGTTTAAAATATGTAATATTTTTTGATAAAATGTGTAAGATATGTAATAATTTTAGGTTAGAATGAATAAATCAATTCGGATTTATGATTATCATAAAATTAATTCCGGAAATGATTTTAGATTTAAAATATGTAATATTTTTTGATAAAATGTGTAAGATATGTAATAATTTTAGTTAGAATGAATAAATCAATACAATGAATAAATCAATTCGGATTTATGATTATCATAAAATTAATTCCGGAAATGATTTTAGATTTAAAATATGTAATATTTTTTGATAAAATGTGTAAGATATGTAATAATTTTAGGTTAGAATGAATAAATCAAAATTACCTTACGATAGTGCAGAAAATATTTTTCCTTACTTATAAATTGATAATAATTTAAAACATAGTAATTAATTAAATTTATTTATATTTCACTAACATTTAATTCAATACTGCTTGCCAATGATGAAGCATCCACTTCTGAAGCCATCACTGCGACAAGCCTTGAAGAAAAGCTAAATTATTTAATTAAATTTTTAATCAATTTAATTAATTATGTAAAATTTAATTATCAATTTAACAACAGCTCACAAAGTACAAATTATAATTTCAAACTTTATACTTAAATTTTTTACTTAATTATGTATCATACGCATAAATCTACAACAACAACAAAAATGAAATTAAAAATTTAATTATCAATTTAACAACAGCTCACAAAGTACAAATTATAATTTCAAATTTTATACTTAAATTTTTTACTTAATTATGTATCATACGTATAAATCTACAACAACAACAAAATGAATATGTGACAATAAGACAATAACAATTAAATGTAAGCATTGTCAGTTTCTTAAATTCTTAATAATTACATTTGATATTATTTCTTTTACTAATTACTTTATTATTTATTACATAATTAGTTACTTAAAAATATGTGTTTTTTAGTTTTTAATTTTATGAATTTTCAAAAGTTATTAAAATTTTTTAAATCCATAATTTTTAAGTATTTTAGGTAATTAGTTTTAATTTTTAACTATTTTAAGTACTTAGTAATAATTAGAAATTTTTTCAACAAATTGTAATTTCAAAGCAAAAAAAAAAAAAAAATTTAACTGCAACTAAATTACTTCTACTCTATGTACTAATTAATTAACAAAACAGAATGTAACTTACATACTTAAGGATTGAATTAAAATAGGATAATATAAATTAATTTTAATTAATTAATTAATTCATTCATTGATAACTAATGTTGTAGCTCTGTTACAAGTTTAATTTAAATTAATATAGCAAATAAATGTTTAATATTAGAAAAAACAAATTAATTAATCATTTTGACAAATAGTTAATATAAAATGAGAATTAAGGATTGAAATAATCAACTAACATCAATTTTAATAATAAGTAATGTATATCAATTCAATAAGTAAATATTAAGTAATAAGTAAGAAGTAATTGTGCAAGAAGAAAGTAAGTAATGATTAGATCTACTTGAGCAATAGTAATAATAATAATAATGTCAGGCATTATTGGATCAATTAAACTAATATATTTATATGTGCAAGCAGATATGCAATTGCACTTGCAACTGCAACTGCAGCTGCAAATGCGGCTGCAAGAAATATTTGCTCAATAAATGATTAGAAAAAGAAATCAAAATTTTACTTTTAAAATTTTTTATTAAATTTACTAAAATTTTCTTTGTACAACTCAACAAATTTATTAGCAAATATTATTTATCAAATGACAATTTTAAAATATTTTACTAAAAAATTGTGTAAAAATAAAATAATTCTATCGTAAAATTTTATAAAAAATTAACAACAAAAAAAAGTTATAAAAAAATTTTGAACTTTTCAGTTTTAAAATTAATACAATTAATTAATTTCATAAATTTTTATTTTTGAAACTATAATGAAATAACAGAAATTTCATAGAATTGAATGTTTGTTTTGTTTAGATATGATAGAGTTTATATCATTGTCCTTTATTTTTTATTGAAAGTTAAACTTTAAAATTTATTAGTAATTAATTTCTTGTTATAAATAACATTTAAATAAACAAAAAATTAAAAAAAAAATTGCGAGAAAAAAAGGAATTATAGAAATTTTAGACAATTTTTCATTTATTTTCATGAAAAAAAAAATAAAATATAATTTAATACAATAAAAATATATAATAAAATAAAAACATAATTTTTAGCATAATATAATAAATTATACTTTTATTGTTATTTTTCATGAAAATAAAATGAAAATCTAAAGTAAATATTAAATAGTAGCATAGGTGATAATTGAATATTTAATTCTTTATCAATTAACAAATAACAAATTTGCCTTTTCAAAATGATTTTTTAATTTTCAAAATTTTACAATTCCACTTTTTTTTCTTTAAAAATTTTATCGAAGATTTTTTCATAATTTTAAAATAAAAATAAATTTTTTTGAAGCTAATTTTTACAATTATCATTCTAAATTAGCTCTTTCTATGATTTACAATTGAGAATTAGAACTGAACAAAAATCAAAAACAAAATTGAAACTTAAAATTGAAAATTAAAATTTCAGTTACTTGTTCATGGGAATAAAGAAAAAAAAATTTCCCTCTTTTAATTCAATTTTTTGATTATAATTTAATTTTATTAAATAAGCAAAAAACACTGCAATTAATTTAAATTAGCGTAAGACAGATAAAACTGAAACTGCCAAATTCCACAACCGGACCAGGTAGTTAAAGCAGAATTGGAATTGCTTGAAATTACCATTGTAATATATACGAATTCACAATCCAAAAATATTACCTCTTTTAAATCTATGTTTTCTTTTTCCAATATAAAAATCGTATTCCTGAGTTCTGCATTTTCATTTTTCAGTTCATCGTTTTTCTTTGTTAAATTTTCAGCAGCACGAATTATTGCAGCAGTAATTTCACTTCCAAAATCCAAATTCTCAAACAAAGTTGAGCTTTGATATCTTATATCTTCCTCATTGATTCGAAAATGCTGAGCCGTCCTTTTTAGCTCCTAAAATTGACAAAAATTTGACTTAAAAAACTATCTTAACATTATTTAACAGTTTTGAAACTCCACAAAACAATGAAAAATTCTCGAAAGAAGAAGCAAACCTGCATTACTTCATCACAATGTTCACATATTTTTTTGAAAGTATCTCCTTCTCTTTCATTATTTTCTAACTGTTTAATTTCTCGGCCATGCAAGCAATCCAATAATACGCTCAAGCTTTTAAAGTTTTTTTCTGTATACTCATGCAGTATTTTCATTTTACGCCATTTTTTGCATTTCATCCAAACCCTTTGACCATTTCTCATTCAATTTCTGAAATCCGATTTATAGACAATATGATGATGAATGTACTATTGTAAATAAAACGATATTAAACATTCAAATTTACTTCCTGAAGATTTTTTATATAACGCAGCATTTTTAACAAGAAGGCACAGTTTTGATTTTCTACAGATTTTGTTTTGATAAACTCTGTCACAAAATATAAGAAATTCTGTCCATTTGTTTTTGGAAATTCTAGAATAACAAAATTTATACAAAACTTTAAATAAGATTAACCTGCATTAAACTTGAGAAACAATTCTTGTTATCAGAAAACTGAAATTCTTGTATTATTCTTGCAAACCAATAAGCTTTGATTTCGCACTCGTAAACAACATCTCAAATCTGTTTTTTTTCCTCCACCATTTTTTCCATTATCGATTCTAACTAAAGATTTTTGATTCCTTTGTTTAACTGGAAAATATAAAGTTATTAAAAAAAAATACTTATAAGTTCGCAATAAAGTTATTAAAAAAAATACTTATAAGTTCGCAATAAAGTTATTAAAAAAAATACTTATAAGTTCGCAATAAAGTTATTAAAAAAAATACTTATAAGTTCGCAATAAAGTTATTAAAAAAAAAAAATGAGACTTCAAAATTTCATATTTCAATTGTATAAGCGATAATTGCAAATCGTCTCCAAACCGAAATTTTAAACTCTGAATTTGGCAAGGTGACACCGTGCCGGTTGGGGTAGTGTTATTCGAGATAAGGCAATGATTAATGTCTTATCACTTATCAGTTAAATTGGTATTTCAGTTTATTATCAGTTATCTTTTACTTCCATTCTATTTTTAATTATTTCTTCACTTTCCTCAATTATAATTCATTATTTCATCTTATAAGTTCTTATCAGTGTGTGATATAACAATTTCTTTGTTTTTTTTATCTTTGTTTTCTTATCATTTTTGCATTTTTTTTTTTTTTAAAAATATTTCCTCCAATCAAAAGATACTTTTTTTTTGTTGAAATTCGAAAATTACTGGATCACATGTAACTATTGTTAATTGCAAAGGAAAAATCTAAATGTATCAGTATCAGTTCAAATTTCAGCGTTTAAAATTTGCAGTTGAGAAATTGAAATAATGTTACACTTCAGTAAACTATCAATGTTTTTCTTTTAATGTTAGTATTTTATATGTCATTTGTGAAATTATTTTGTTTACTTTTGTCAAATTTATTTATCCTTTATTTAATGAAATAATTAATTACTTATTTCATTGGTTACAATGATAGTATTTAAATTTATAACTTGGCATTTCATATCTTTATTTCTTTTGTCTTGTTAACATTTTAAAATCCTACTTTAATTTTAATTGCTTAATACTTACTTACTTCAGTACTTATCGTAGAAGTTAACAAAGTTTAGCAAATTTAGCACTATCATTTGATGATGAATTATATTTAGGTTGGAGTGGAACGAATGATAAAAGAGTAGCAGTTGCTATCTTAATGGTTTATTGTAATTGTGATGGAGCGAGTAAAAGATAAAATATTCATTCGACCAATTGTTTATGGTAATACTGCCCATTATTTGGGTAAAAAACGCGAAGAAGATGGGCATACACATGAATGGACAGTATTCGTGAAACCTTACTACAATGAAGATCCATCAAAGTATATTCGAAAAGTACAATTCAAATTACACGATTCATATGCTAATGCAACACGAAGTAATTTATTTCTTTTTTTTTTTTTTTAATATTAGTTTTTTTTTCTGTCTGGAATAACTAGCCTAATTAGATTATCACATTGTTATTATGATATTATAAATTTTAGTTTGTAATCTAATTGTGCATTTTCATATGCTGAATGGCAAACTTTTAGTTTTGATTAGAATTCTACTTTTATCCAATTATTAACGATTATAGTTTATGAATTGGTCTTAACTTATAACGTCAAAAGTGGACATGAAATTTAGAAGTTGTCATATAATATAGATACATAAGTGAAATTAGAAGAATTTTTGTTCTTCACAAAAATTTCTGTATTTGACATGAAATTATTCTGCTATACATATATGAAAGAATATGAAAAATATAGAATATCACTGAGAAAGAATAATAATATTTAATTTTAATTTAATAGGTATTGCTTATGCTATTTTTTAGTGGTCGAAAAACCGCCGTATGAAGTGACC